GAGAGAGAGAGAGAGAGAGAGAGAGAGAGAGAGAGAGAGAGAGAGAGAGAGAGAAAGAGAGAGAGTTCAATTTATATAATCACTGAATGCGTCTCTAGATAATGAGATAAAGTGGAGTTTTATAGTGGAATAATACATTGTCCCAACTCCGTCACTGTCAGGTTTCGAACTCGGGGCCTGTTCGAAGCAAACACCGTAACCTCTAGATCTAGCCCAAGCGAGCCCCAAAAGCGGCCTTTGTCAGAGGAAGAAAAAAAAAATTTTGAGTTCAGATTAAAAGTTAAATGTCATATTCATAATCTCCTCAATAGGCCTATATTCGCGTTGTCTACGTCCTAGTTCTTACAATCTGGTTTAAATGCAGAATATTATTAACAATTCCATATTCGTTTTAATGAACCATTTATATCCGTATTCACGTAGCTTTCATCTCCATGCACTTTCTCCCCAAATCAATCAGAGCAGGCTTTTCGGTCGTCGTCACGTGGGCAAAATTCAAAATTCTTACCAAAAGTATAAAACACTTACCATAAGAAACAAATAATAAATGTTAATGTTAATGTTAATACACGCAGCATTTTTTTAAAGCCTCCTCCCCTCTTAGAGATAGAGCCAGGACCCATAGGAGCCAAGAGCGCTATGTTGTCTGCTAACATGCATGCAGGATCACAGACTACTTATAATATTGTCCGCTAACATGCATGCACGGTCACAAACTACTCATATTGTCTGCTAACATGCATGCAAGATCACAAACTGAAACTACTGTCTGCTAATATGCATGCGAGATCACAGACTGAAACTGTTGTCTGTTAACATGCATCCTATTTCCATGAAAAATACGTGCATAAGAAATACATGTCAACAAAATCCAATATGGCCACCATCTCCATGGCAACGGAACTTTTTCTTCTCAAATTTGATTGCGGATTTTAAGACTCCCCTCTGCGCTTGTTGTAAGTGTGATAAGTGATAAAATGTTATCCTCTAATAAGCGAGATAGCCCTCAGGTGTACCCCCCCCCCCCCCCGGGGGGGGGGGGGGCTTTAACTGTTGGGAACTGTAAAAACGAAGAGGTGCTGGAACCCAAGAAAAGGATCAACTTAACCCAAACCAACTCAGGCGAGTTCAACACACGCGAAGTTGGTTGACTGTACATGTTTGACAGTTAATGTTTGGCGTTGTTATCCTGGAAGAAGACGGTTCAAATAATGAATGCTCCCGGAGGTCCGCGCTTTGACAAGGTTTGATTAAAAACGACGTTGCTCTGGTTCGATCTTCACGGGCCAACAGAACACTGAAGCACGCCATGGGTCTCATAAAGAGAATTCGCCAAGTTTTCTCCAGCTGCCTCAAGGGGGCGAAGTGCGCAGATGAGGCGCACCGAGAGGGAAGTTCTGGATCAGATTCGTCGAAGGAGGCCTCAATTGCTTGCTACATGGAAGAATCTCTGTTGGACGAAACAGAGATGTGTGGCAATGCTCACGACAAGGCCTCGGCAGCAGCTAGTGATATCCTGCTTCATGCAGGACCGACCACCATGGTCTCTGAAATAAAATACACGCCTGTCATTCCAATGACTCCGTGTAGTTTCAGAGACTTGTCCGATGGTGGCACTAGCTGCTCCAGCAGTGTTCTCGAAGACCTCGATATAATATCATTGGGGTCAGAAAGATTCACTGCTTCACCAACACACGAGGAGCGGAACAAGATTCAAATGCTCCATGTGTTTGACCCTCGAATCCTTGATTCAATCCCAACTCCTACGGACGAAGAGTTGGAGGAACTTTTCCCGACGGCAGAATCGCCGAGCAACTCGTCTCAGGAAACTGACGAGGAGGAGGAGGAGGAGGAGGAAACACAAATCCTAGCCGCAGTTGTGGCGCTCTTCACTGTCACGGAGAGCGCCTGGACCGTGAGTTGGTAGAGGGCCCCCCAGTCCTGAAAGTAAGAGACAGCGTGGAGTGCTCATTCATTAGCTAGTAGATCAATAGGAACCTTTTTTTAGCAGTCTCTGTAAATTTTATTTATTTATCAGCCAACGAGCACAAAACCCGAGCTCTTGCCGGATGGAGAAGGTCCTCTACCTTGGCCCTTTTAAGGGCCACCAAAAATTCTCATATCTGTTTGGATATGGTATGATACAAAATGTACTTGTGAGGAAATATTTTGTTCTAGAATGACATCCGTATAACAATTTTAAAAAACAAAAGATTACAAACTGAAACAACATATCATCGACCCATATTACTATTATTATTATTATTATTATTATTATTATTATTATTATTATTATTATTATTATTATTATTATTATTATTATTATTAATATAATAATAATAATAATAATAATAATAATAATTATTATTATTATTATCATTATTATTATTATTATTATTATTATGTGATTATGGCGTTAGAGTGCTATGTTTTTCAACGATAGCACATTTAAAAGTAAGCACTACTCGAGTTACTTTCCCAGTCACAGGTGAGATTTCATACCCACACGGTACGACCCTGACCATCTGCCCTTCTGAGGACTATGAGGACTCACATGGATGTGGTAACATCTAGCCTACCCTCAAATGGCACCACTACACCCCTTTCTCGCCTGGTGGGACGGCGTGAAGGTCAGAGCCGATGGAATCAAAACTTAATACTTAATAGTTTTGATTCGATCAGGGCTGAGTTAGTGGGCAAAGCATTTCATTTCCATCTTAGATAGTTTTTAAAAAATCCTTCGAAGGGAAGGAATTTCTTTTTTCCCCCCGTCAAACAGGTTCTGTTTTATATAGAGGCAATTATAGAGGGATATTATCAAAATTAAAGAGGGGGCGGGGGGGGGGGGGATTTCCGTCAAACACAGGTTTCCGTTAAGGCAGGTTCGACTGTACATAACGACCTGAGCATCGTGCAACAATCTCTGTCTTTTCTTGCAAAAGTTTGCAAAGAGCACATTGGGAAGAACACTGAGAAGGCCTAGGAAGAACCTTATCGAAGCAGCCATGTATATGAGTCAAACAAGAATGCTTGGAAGAAACGCTCGATTGTTTTGAGTAACAGTATAATATATGCTAGCTAATTTAATTTAAAAGGAACCTGGGGATTGGGTATATACACCTAACAATGAAGAAAAATGTATTTTGGTTTTATATTTATTTATTTATTTATTTATTTATTTATTTATTTATTTATTTATTCTTTTATTCTTTTATTTATTTATTTATTTATTTATTTATTTATTTATTTATTTATTTATCTATTCGTTCATTCATTCATTCATTATTCATTTATTCATTTATTTATTTATTCATTTTTTAAACTTATTTATTTTTGATTCAGTAAAGAAAAGTAAAACAAATCAACATGTTCAATCTTGCGCGTGTCTTGTACTATCTTTGCTTGAAGTAAGGATGCAAAGAAAAAGGGATATAATCAGCACAACAACTAGATCTAGTAATGTTTATAAAACAGGAGTAGCTTTCCTTAGGTTTAATTTTAGGTCTTTAGTCATGCAGTGTTTTCATCTAGATCTATCTTCGTTCTTGTTCTTTAGCAGTAGCACTTGCACAACTTCCACGCAACATCAGTGGTGAAGCATCATAGGGGGAGTGTATTTTTAGTATTAACTAGTGCCATAAATACAGCAAGAATTGTTGGGACTTCATCAGAGCAAGACGGTACTTTTAGATAGATCTACTCCACTGCTATCAGTGACTGTGACAGTAGTAGATTCTGGAGTGGAACATTTTGAAAAGTAAATTTGCGTAAAATCTAGTCTAGTCTAGAGTACTGTAGTACAGTCTAGAATCTAGATCTAGAGTCTAGAATCTAGTAGTGTCTCTCTAAATTTTAACTTTTAAGCCGTCAAGGTAAGTTAAACTTTACTTTAACTGACAAGTAGATCTAGATCTAGATCTAGATCTAGATCTAGATCTAGATCTAGATCTAGGCCTACTTGAATTTAAGAATAATTATTAAGTCATTATTTAAAGGCCATTTGTTATTTAAATTATCAGTCGAACATTCAGTAAAAGATGGAGGAGGAGGGGGGGGGAGGGTGCAGGGGGTGTATTTTGGAAGGTCTCTTCATATAATTATTCAATTCTGTCCAAGATGGCGGCCTGGGGTAACAATCGAAACTGCGCCCAATTTTTGAGTTTATAGATAGATCTATAAAAGTAAGGCTCGATATATATTGTTGTAAGTTTAAGTTTTAATCAAAATACAGTGACAGTGGTGCCATATATGAAGAGTGCCATACGTATCATTTTGGGAGGAGTTCGACAGAGGGCCGGCACTAACAGTGACAAGGTCCTCTGAGCAAAACTATACTATACTTATACAAGGGTTAGGGTTAAGGTTAGGGTTAGATAATTTAGGTGTTGTTTTTCGGCGGAGGCTCTGCGCACCTACTTTTACTAGCCTAATATGAAATAAGTAGGCTAAATAGCCCCGTCTCTATTTAAAAGGCTCTAGTCTAAGCCTACTATGGTGCGGTCAAAAATTTGTGGCGCAACTTATTGTCAAATATAATCTCTTTAATGGGTGAATCAATGTCATCTGTATTTTGCACAGCAGGCATCAATATACGAAATCCCACAGTTCTAAGTTGGTACCTCATCAGGAGCATGTACGAAGGGACATTAAGTTGCAGGGTATGATGGCCAGCTCACTCACACTGACAGCTTTAACATCAAGACCGGTGTGAGACAGGGATGTTTCTGTCACCTTTCCTCTTTATCTTGGCAATCGACTGGTATCTTGGCAATCTACTGGCTGATGAAAGAAACCACCAGAGGACACAGAATCAGCATACAGTGGATCCCATAGATGCCGTTGGACGATCTGGACTTTGCAGATGACTTGGCGCTTCTGGCACACACTCAGGAACAGATGCAAGGAAAGACAACAATTTTAAACAGTTTTCTTCAGAGTCTGTTGGATTGAGGATCCACCCTGGTAGGTCAAAAGTCCTAAGGATAGAGGCACTACGAAAGGAGCAGAGTGGAACTCAGAATCAACGAGCTCGGATTCAATGAGAACTCGGATTCAACGAGAGGTTTAATAGATTCCCCATTATTTTTCTTCTTTAAAATCAATAAAAATAACCCTGATTCAACTAGCACTTTTATCAACGAGCTCAGATTCAACGAGGTCGCCTCCTGGGGGAACAGCCCCCACAGACGTGGCTTCGCTCATTTTTCTCCCAGAACGAATTTTATCCATTCCTGTAAACCATCCATTGCAACTGCATCATGAACTATTCTTCATTTGGCCGATTGCATGCGACCAATCTGCGGCCTTTTTTCATACCAACACAAGTGTTGTTGGCACGCGCACGTGTCTACTCTGACGTGTGTCGGGTCAGATGGGTGGCCTGCACACGTGTGACTGTGTGTGCGTGGCGGGGGGAGGGGGGGTCACTAGCGGTCCGGGCGTTGAACGTCGCAGATACAAACGCGTCACAGTCTTTTTTCCCCTCGGCAACTGATCATTATTACAATTTAAAGCTAGTCTTGACGTAGATCTACGAATAAGGAATTGTGCGTTGGTCTATGGAATTCTTAAGTTTGCGTGTGCAAGGCTCTACACAGCAACACAACTTTTTGGCAAACAATGGAGATGACACAGGCGTGCATTTGAACGAATTGGTCTTTTTTTTACACAGCTCATAATATGCAGGCATTTCAGACCCTACTTGTTACTTATTTTTACACATTACTTGCTCAGTGCCTGTAATAATCTACACAAAACCTCATATTTGCTATAAAGAACACTCGGATTCAACGAGGTTTTGGGTCAGGCCCAGCGACTTCGTTGAATCCGAGTTCCATTGTAGAGGGAAATGCACTAGAAGACGTGGTAAAAGCTATCTTGGGAGTATAATTGACAGAGAGGGAGGAACAGGCGCTGAAATAAAGTCCCATATTGGAAAGGCACAGACTGCATTTATTCCTTTGAACAAGATTTGGAGGACCAGGGATATCTCACTACAGACAAAGCTGAGAATTTTCAACTCAAATGTGAAGTCAGTCATGTTGTATGGATGTGAGACATGCATAAGGATCCAGGTTTTCTTGAACAAGTGTCTGAGGAAGCTATTGAGGATCAGATGGACAGACAGGATCAACAAGGAAGAATTAAGAAGAACGAGACAGAGCCCAGTCAGAGATGAGGTGGGAAGAAGGCGTTGGCGATGGATTGGACACACTTTCAGGAAGTCAAGCAGCTGCATAGCAAGGAAAGTGTTAGATTGGAACCCACAGGGTAAAAGATCAAGGGAAAACCACATGAAACCTGGAGAAGAGTCACTGAAATGGATGTACAGAAAAGTGGGTAGACATGAAGTGACATCAAGCGGACTAGCCCAGGATAGGGAAAGGTGGAAAGTGTTTGTTCGTGGCCTATATCCTGATCCAGGGTGAGAAAGGCAATGATGATGATGGTATCAATTTGTTTTAACTTAATCATATTTTTCCACAACAATTGAGGCTATGTTTAAAAAGTTTTCTTCATAAATTTATATAAAATACTATAAATCTGCGTCACGCGGAAAATGGTATTGTTCACAGCACTTCCCGCTTCTCATACACACTTTGCATACGGTACTTATGACCTATGTCACAGCTCAGCAATGACACTTTTTAATGGCAAAACTTGTTACAAGAAATTGAATTTATAGTGGATGCATTTTTGGCACAAAAGGTTCTCATAACATGCATTCAATAAACATATATGTCGCGATGTGAAAAAAAAGACAGACTTGCTTTTAAAAGCGATATTGCCCGAGCTGTAAACTTTAAAAAATCCATAGAAACCATCGACTGGGATTTTTTATTAGTGTTTATTAAGGAAATTTCTAGAATATGGTGTAGAGGTGTTTGAAAAAATACCCATCTGTTAAGACAAATTGATATGTATAAGTCTAGTGCAAAAGTTGGAGAATCTAGGTTGAATAGTTAAGGAGATATTGGACAATAAGTTGTGCCATGAATTTTTTACCGCACTATAATTACAAGGAATGATGAATCTAGCCTAGAATCTAGTCTGCCAGCTGATATGACTGATGACTGATGAGATAGGGAAAAGAAATAGAAAAAAAAATGTGAATCTAGATTAGATTGTTAGATTTTAGGTCTAGTCTAGAGTCTAGGCCTTGCAGTTTATAATTGAGTTTCTTTGGCCTTGTGGTAGATGTGGGTTGCAAGTGCTCAAGAAATATTTTGTTGAAAGTATGAAAGTCAAATTCCCAATGTTGAATAAAGAGTAAGAACAATGTCTTAAATCAGCCTGCCCACAGCCCGTAGGATAGGTAGCATAATATGCATATTATAATAGCATTGGAGACGTTTATGATCATTAGACATATATATATATATATATATATATTACTCCCAGTGGAGCAAAGACCATCAACAGCATTACTCCAGCGAAGCCTGTCCTGAGCATCCTTTTCTATCAGTTTCCATGATGTCCCCGCTTTTTCAATTTCAGCTTTACCGCTCGCCTCCATGTCATCTTTGGTCTTCCCTTCTTTCGTTTTCCTTGTGGGTTCCACATTAAAGCCTGCCTTGAAGGTCTTCCATCTTCCAGAACTGGCAGTCGTGTTGTTTTTGCTGTTCATGTTTTTGTAGCTACTTTTTGTTTAACGGGAAAGGGCTGCTAACCCTTTTTTGCCCAACCGACCTTACTCACCTTCTACGACATGCACGGTACGGATAGGCCTACAGTGGTCCTATTCTTTGCTCCCCTGTCCCTTGGACAGGGCCCCGAGAACCACACGAGAGATATATATATATATATATATATAATCTATGGTAAAGATCAACCTGTTGACGTGTGCCAATGCAAGCTCAGGGTAATAATTTGGTATCTTCCAGATTTGCACGTTTTATTTACTTCTGCCTTGCTGGACATTGTGTTATAAAAAGCAATGAGGGTTATTACTGGGTTAGGTTAGGGTTTGGGCAAGAGTTCTCCAACCGTTCCCTTTCTTGAATTCAATAGTGATAAACTTTTTTAATGCTGATTTAGTTAAAGGTACCGAGCTATGATGGTGGCATAAGTCCCCTATTGACCGCAGACTACTGCAATCTAGTGCAACGTAGTCTGTGTATTCCCACCTGATCCTGATTGGCCATGGTATAATTCAGCGCTGGGGGCATTGAGACTAAAGGTGGTGGCATTACATAATTGATTATTGAGGTGTTGTTGGTGGGTGAATTACTTCATTTTTGTCATGTCGTTTAGGTCTGAGAATTTTTTGATTGACAGGAAGTAACTAAGTAAGTCATGCGTCATGACAGCAAGTGACCAGATAGGACTATTTTCAAGAAATCAGGTTGGTCAGCTCCCCCCACAAACCACCTCCCTCCCTCCCCCTCACACCCTTTTACTCTTTAATATGGCCAATGGCAGTCTCAAGTCTGTAAACCAGAAACATCATTGTAGACCTTTTCTACTAAACCAATTTTGAGTCAGTCCAGCTGTTGACCTTCAACAAACCAGCGTCATTTTTTAATTTCCAGGAAATTGCCTGCACTTTTGTTCATGTTATTGAGCACTACATCTTTGTTGTTTGAAATGCATACATTCATTTAATAGTATTGTCCAGTATCTTCAGGAGCTTGATGAGGGCTGAGTACCTCATTCTGACGATGTGTCTGCATATTGCACTCTGGTGTGTACGCTTTCCACTCACTTCCTAAATATCAGTATTTTGCAATTATATTTCATAATGTTGGATGAAATCCATTTTAAGTACTCGATAACCTTTATCATAATGTAGACTTTGCTTACAAATTGTCTCATCTTTGATACCAATTGTCTCCCCTGGTTCTTTTCCAGACTTCTCAATCATGGCGGGGACTGAATCGTCAGGCATCATTTCAGAACAGAAATCAGCAGCAGCAGTACAGCAAGATGCAGAATTGGCAGCTGTTAAAGCAGCATTCCCAAACCGTTGTCGTGTGATCTCAAACTCAGGAAAGTTCAGCAATGTGGTTACCTTGCAGCCAGAAAACCTTGATGCCACTATCAAATTTCATCTACCAGGTATGTCATTGGCAAAGATGATAGGCCTACAGTGTACTAAGACTGGTTTAGGGGCTACTTTTCTTTTCTTTTCCAGTTAAACAGTTTTGTGAGTATTGTGTGTTCTTTGACTTAAATAAAGTATTATTATTATTCTTATAATATTCACAGCTCTTCAATTGAAGACTGTGTATGTGTTGTAGCACAGAGTGTTTCTGCTTGATTTTGTGACATACTTGACCCGGGAGAGAGTATTTAAAGGGGTAATGGGTTAATTAGTGAGCTTTGTAGTTGTTCAAACAGAGCGGGCAATAAGTGATTTGAATTAAAACATGTTTAAATAGCTATAAAAAAAGCATTCATCAAAATTTTTGGCTCTGTACTCCTGAACATATAATGACCATTGATATAGAATAAAAGGTACCGGTATTGTTAGTTGTTTTTTTTTGAGCTGCGAGAACACACAAACTGTAAATACATCTAACACATATATATTGAAAAAGAAATGAGGACAAATGTTTTATAACTTCTGCGGAGTCCAGAAGGGGTAGAGAATTTACTAAATTTTGTTTTTGTGCAGACTTGCTACCCTTTATTTCATTAGTCTTCTTTCAAAAGAAATATAGGTGAATACTGCCACCTAGATGGATTGCACTGTGCATATATCCTTGTTATTGTTGCTAGCCATAATATATGGGGGGGTTGCGGTAACACCTCCCCCCAAAACAAAAAAAACCAATGACATATTTTTACGGAAAATAGAGCTAAAAAAACTCAAACATTTTGCTCAGTTTGATTGTGGGGTCATCAAAGATTATTGATTGTAAACTGGATTATTATTTCTGTCTTTTTCTATTTGGAGGTGAATGACGGGCGGTTACTTTTATGGCAGTGAATATCAAAAAGAAGCAAAACATTCTGTCTGCTCACAGTGATCACTGTTACAGACTTAGTTTACCAGAAGTTGAATGTGAACAAAAAGGCAGAAAATCAGACTCTGTCAGCTTTAGAAACTACTGTTTTAAGTTCTTTCTTAAGCTGGCTTACTGAAGAATTGCTTTTTATAAAAAAAAATATAACTTTTTTATGTTAGAAGTAGATGTAATTGATTATCCTATATTCAGTTTTGTCTTTTCTTCCTGGGGAAGCCAACACTGGCAGCTGCCAATGTCCACTTTCGTTATAGTAAAGCTTTATATTTTTATCCTCATTTCAATGTATCAGCTTTTCAGTTTTATCCTAGTCAGTAGTTTTAATCCTGTTTATTTTATGGCAAATATAATTTTCATATTAAATATTAAATGTAGCGCTTTTACGGTCACTTCGATGTCTGTGTGTCTTAAAGTTGAGGGATTAATATGGGGGAGGGCAATTTTTGGGTGGGAGGAATAGAGAAAGAGAGACAGGAGAGAGAGAATGTCTGGATGTATATGTGTTTATGTGTGCTTTGACAGAAAGAGAGGAGAGACAGACAGACAGATAGCTACACAAAGACAATGAGAGAAAATCTTACTTTAAAATGTGCAGTATGTTATTTATTTATTTTTTTGGTAAGTGTTTTATGACGCTCGCAACTGCATAAGGTCATATGAGTGCACATGACACATTAAACATTTTTCGGTTGGTAGGAAATTTTGAATTTTGCCCCGGTGGCGGCCGAAGCGTACTGTTATCGATTTTAGACCATCAAGGGATCTTTAACGTCCACAACTTGCACACAGGACCTCCAAGATTTTTCGCTCTTGTCCGAGAAGGCTAGGTGTAGATTTTTCCTGCCATAAGATCAGGGATGTGGCTGAAAGACAGCAGTAAGAACGAGCCAAGGAGTAGCAGTAGAAAGGCTGCAGAAAGAGTCAGGAGCCCAGAGGAGGGAACAAAGGAGGTGAGGAGATGGGGGCAGAAAGTGGAAACAAAAGTGAATGACAGAACATTGCTAGAGAGCAGGAAAGGAGGTGAAAGGAGACAAATTTAGAGAAGAAAATTTTTCAGCCGCTACCCGGATTCGAACCCGGGACCATTGAATGAGAGGCGAACACCTTAACCTCTAGGCCACGAGAGCCCCCACGATATGTCATTATTATAAATTATTTCATTTTGAACACTAGAAAGCATGATACAATTTCTTGTCCCTGTGTGCTTATTAATGGACTCCAAGGTTGTTGTATTCTCAGGAGTGACCTTTTTTTTTTACTGTTTCTCAATGTCTTGTCTGTTTTGTGTATTCCTCAGCCTCTTACCCATCTGTGGCTCCAGAAATAAGCATCCGCTCAGAATCTATTACAAAGCCCAACATAGCAGATATAGAGGAATTTCTCAAGTCCAAAGCACAGACTTTATTGGGACAGGAGATGCTTCTTTCTCTTACCAATGATGCTCAGGGGAAATTCTATGAAGTGGGTCTGCGTCCAGGAAAGACGAGCATAGTTGACAGTCATACGTATCTCGGTAAAAAACCTGTCAAAAAGAGGCCAAAACGTAAACCCAAATCTGAGGATGAGAAGGATGAGAACGAGAAATTGCCACCCATGAAGACAGCTGATGATGTGGTGAAAAGAATAATCTGGGATGAAAATTTGGACAAAGATGATTTTGTTGTAGGCTACATTGACAGATTCCGAGGCTTGATGGAAAAATATTTCTCTGCTTTCTCATGGGAAGATTTGTCAGCTGTGGACTATGATGTTTTAGCAGTGCCGAAACACAGGATCCAGTACTTCTCTTATAAGGGGGTCAAGGTGTGGGATAAACCCCGCAGGGTTGATAATGTGTTTGGGTCAGCATCGGGGACCAAAACGATAGATGTCGTGATCAGGGAGCTCGAGCAGGAGCAAAGCACTGGTCAGCAAGCTGTGGGGGTGGAGAGTAATCTGAAAAACCAGAGGGAAGAAGATGAGGAATCTTACAGCAGCAGTGATGACGATGATGATGACGGTATTGTGGTCACCATTGGCGGTGCTGCTGGCTCTGTTTCGACCAGCCAGTCTTCTATTGGAAGGTCTAGCTCCAACACTGAAAGTGCCATGGATGTGGACTCTGTGGAAAAGCAGGCTCCTGGTTATGACCCATATTGGCAAGATAAGTTGAGACCTAACTATTTCCTTTGTGTGCGAATCACCAATGAGAAAATCAGAGACCAGATTGGAAACGTGCAAGATCACTTGATGGAGGTGGAGCCCCTGTTTGGGGAATGTTGTATACCGGGGGCAGCTCTTCACCTCACACTCTGTACTGTGGGCTTAGACACAGCAGAGCAGCTCCAGGAATGCATGAGTGCTTTGAACAAAGCCAAGCAAGAGCTTGCGGCAGGTTTGCCTAAGTCCACACTCAAATTCCATGGGGTCTCAAACTTTTACAATAGAGTCATCTACGCTAAAGTGCAGTATGAGAAAGATTTTATAGACTTTCATAATTTATTGAAGCAGGTTTTGAGTCAAGCAGGTGTGCAGGTCAGAGATGGATATGACTTTGTTCCTCATGTAACAGTTATGAAGACGACGCGACCAGTGTCGAGGCTGAGGGGAACCAAGAATATCAGCCCGAAAGTTTATGAGAAGTTTTTGGAAATGGAGTTTGGAGAGCAGAAGGTTGAGGGAATTTATCTTTGTTCTATGGGAGATGAGCGACGAGATGATGGTTTTTACTTAACTCCAACAGAGCTTCACTTTCCCCCAAACTGAACTCTAGTGCATCATCAGGTCTCTATTAACACTCTGTAAATCTGTATGAGTTATTGTCTGGAATGGTGATGCAAAAATGCTACTTTTATGCTTAGTTAAAGGGAAAATAGCTGTATAAAGATAACAGAGAAATAGTTATGGACATGGAGCAACCTTCCAGTGGTGCCCTTCAACCTCTAACTGGTTGTGATGTTCTGTGGTTACTAGAACTGTGTCTGTGTTGAAGTCAAGGTACCGTGAGTGTTTTTATACAGAGGACCTTAGATGGTGTCAAGGGAACAGGGAAAAAATAATAACAAATTAGCCATAAAAATAATTTGAACAATGTCCTCTTTCCAATATAGTCGAGGATGCTAAAAGAAAGGTCATTTTCTCAAAAAACCAATAACTGAAGCTCATTTGTAGTGAAGTCGTCTACATTCCAAACAATGCATTAATGAAACAGTATGTTATGGAATGATAATAATATGTATCAGTCTGTGTTACATTGTCATGAGTGGTAATCTATAGAGCGGTTCGCGACCCCAATGTTTTCTTGTCGTACTTCCATTTTTAATAACAGTGAAAACAGTTCATAACAAAGAGTGAGCTTAATTCACATTATCACTGTAAAAGAAAATGGAGATATGACAAGACAGCTCTGAGGTTGCGAGTTGTTGACATGAAAGAGGTCAAATGTGATAAGAGTAAGAGGTAATTGTTCCTTTTTGTTCGTGTGCACATGTGATAGAAGCAAGCTTAAAAGACACAAAATCTGCTGTGATATTGTTGTTTTACAGTATACCTATTTCAATTTTTTTTTTCTGTTTTGGCGGGGGTAGTGGATAGTGTTGTGAACAATAAATGACTTATTTGTATCAATTATCAATATCAAGAAATTGTAAGCTATAGGTTTATAACATTGTTTCTCACTTACCATCTTTCGTCAGTTAAAGCATGTTGAGAAAAAGGATTGTGATACTACACATGATGTACTGCTAATGATTCCTCAACTGAATATTTTTCATGACATTTATTACTATTATTCTTTCAATTTTACTTAACATAATTTTTTAATAGAATGATCACCGCCGACATTTATAAGACAAAGGCATCACTTTTTAAAAATGTTCTTATGGGACTAGGCTCACGTTTTCCAGAAAATATCTGCAATTCTGACTGTAAATTTATTATTGTTTCATATTCAAATTTCTTTTTCGTTTTTGATGTTAAAAATTCATTTTTCCTACAGTTCAGTAAAATCTAGTAATCATATGGCACCTGAATGGCGCCCTTGTTGTGACCATCCACTCTTTCCCATCAATTATTCCTAATGAATGAAAGTTAATGCAGTTGTTTTAGTGTGTGACATTTCTAACTTTGTTTTTGTCTTGATTATGCGCGAGCAAGAAATTGGTTGTGTGGGTGGCATCCGTATGTTTTGAATGCCCTTGTTATTTTGATGTAGGCCTAAGATTAATAAACTGTCAAAAGAATCTATTTGTCAATAATGTACAGATCTCTAATAGGGTGATGCACAATTTTGTTCAGACGTTTTACTTGTGTGGTTCTACTGTCAATATCGTGCAAGTTTAAATATTTTTCACTTACTTTAGAATTGAAACGTCCGCTGTTTGAGTTTGAGTAATCATCTGTTCTTATTTATAATCCATAGAGGCACATTTAACTCTTTTGGAAATATATGTTGTTTGCTTTATAGCCACACAAAAGTTATATATATGTCACTTGAAAAAGTTAAAAAAAAGGTTCAGTCTTCCTGAAAAGTATAAAAAAAAGTACATAATGAAATTAAAACTTTGGGGTATAGTATAAAAGTGCTTTTTGTTAGTTTTTCTACATTGCGGCTTGCCGGTATGTGTAACATGACCACTGGCTGTCTCAGACTTTCTGTCTGCTGAGCATGTTTTATTATTTTTCAGTTTCAGTATTCTGTCTTAAGTTTAATTGTTTTGTTATTTTCATTTTTAGCCTATAGGAAAAACACACTTTTGATTTAACATCTTATTGTAATTACAAAATAAATGATTTCATTCAATCTCACATGTATGGCAAAATAGCTACTGTTTAAAAAAAGATAGTCAGAACACATAGCCTACTGTTTAAGTGCTACTGTTGTATTGTTTTAAAGTGCTCAGAGCCTTTGTACTTAAGTCAGGGTTGAACTTTATATATAAATGCCATGTATTATTATTATCATAAGTGCTTGAAACAAAGAGCTGAACGAAGTGATTCACCTTAGGAGTCAATTAATGCATGAGCCTTTTTAAATCACAAAATAAGCCTACTACTTACAAATATTATATAAGTGATTTTAAGTTAGATGGTTAAAAAAAACATATCTCATTTTGGCTCTTTCCTGAATATTGGTCATTTTGGGAACTTTCCTCATTTACAAATAATTTTCTATGTTATGTATTCCCTATTGTTGTGCCTACATGATTCCTGTGATTTATAATTTTGATAATAAAAGTCAGATGCTACCAGTTAATGGATTAACTTTGCTCAATAAATTTTCTTCCTGACCCTTGCTGTATGAGAAAACATTGAAATGGGTTTATTCTATACGTCTCACTGCATGCCATTCTCATTTCTTTCCTCATCCTTGCTATCGTCATTTTCCCTCTACTTCTTTTGTATGTTTGTCACTCTCTTGTAACTGCTATTTCTGGGTTGCCTTGATAGTCGAAGCAGACTTTGTGCTGTTGAGGCTAGAGAGGTGAGGAGAGTAAGCCTGATTCCCCTTTGGGACTTTTCTGTTGACACCCCTTGGCACTCATATGACCTTATGCATTTGCAAGCGTCGCAAAAGCCTACTAAAACTAACTAGAACATATTGTAGACCCCCACCGTTATAACTTGGAGTTGGGTCGAAGGGCTCACGCTCAAAGTTCAAAGGCTACTGGATTAACAACGACAACCACATCAATATCAGTAACAGCAACAACAATTTCCAGAAGTATGGGTGTTCGGGGTTTTATATCGTTAGACCTGCTATCCTTTTCCAGTATTTCTTGAACTGTGATATTATGTACGACACAGAATGTTGCTGTAATTGGGCACAATTGCAGACGTGTGTGGTTGGCGGATGCTCTGGTGTGTTTTGCCCCTTTCACCTACCCAAATGTTTCGTCCTTATCTCCTCTCCTCTTTGTAGTTACGTATGTTACTCTTTATTAACAGTAGCCATTTTAACCTTCAGATCGGGTGATTGCAGGGCGTCACCGGTAGGTCCTACTTCTTTACTTTCTCTCTGTTGTTTATGTCTGTCTGTCTGTCTTATTTTTCCCAGCACTTAAGGGGAGACGTACACTCCCGGAAAAATTTTCTAAACGAATGACTTTTATTTAATTTCAAGTAATTGTGCAAGAAGTTCATAGGTAAATAGGATGTACTAGGGTGGATTTGTTGAATTTTTCTAAAAAATGGGTCTCTGTCGCGGCCGTCTTGGATTTTCAAACCAGTTTCTTAGTGCAGAAGAATTTCATAGTAAATATTGAATAATCAGCCTGAAATTTGGCACACAAGTACAAACCTATATGAACTGGGGATCTATGAAAGGACTTTGACCTATCTTTAAACTAAAAAAGTGAGCCCAAAGTCAGTGGACCCCCTAGAGTCAGTTGACGAAATTTCGGGGTACATATTACAAAAAAATTGAATATTTCCTTAAGTTACCAATATTTCCCAATTCCCTTTCATAGATCCCCAGAATCGATCTTAAAGCACATGTACACCAAATTTGAAGCTTCTAGATTCTGTAGTTTTTGAAAACTCCTTGCACCCAGGAGGTCACATATGTCAAAAAATAGATTTCGAGAAAAACAAAAAAAAACAGGGATTTTTTAAAGGATTTTAAATGCAATTTGCACTTTTCAAACGCCCTTTTAGGTCCTTTAGGGTACAGTTTCTTCATTTTGACTCGATAGAACAGATGTCAAAGGATGTTTTTCCGCAAAAAACAAAAGTTGGATAGTTTGAAAAATTGTATCGATATTGCCTTGGATCGCCGATCCGGGTCTTCCCTTAAGTGACCAATAGCCTACATTGTACTGTGTTGATGTGCTTCTCCTTACTCAAACAAACATAATCTTATTGTGTTGCAAGTGCCGAGTGGGTGGTTGGCGGGTGCTCTGGTGTGGTTTTCTCCTTTTTTTCCTATCAAACATCTATCGTCCTACCTCCCCCCCCCCCTTCTCGGGCGGTGCCACAGTAATGTGACTACTTACTACTGGTTTAGCTTACCTACTTTTGCCATTAGTAGTTCATCTCCAGAGACATTCAGCTGTGGTTGATGATATAACGTGCTGTTTTAGCCTTTTTATTTTGCCGTTGAGTTTGAGTCACCCAACCCAAATATCCTTTTCTGTGTTTTGGTGTGTGATATCAGATTCAACGTCCTTCTCCGATAGGACAAAACCAAATGGGTAGAGAGCCTTAAAATGCCCCCAAATAACCCAACATCAAGAACGCCCGGCTGAGAGTTCAAAGAAAGGCAATCCACTCCGTATTCCAGCATGATGCTAATGATACCGACTGAGCTAATGGAAGGCCCCGTATTTGTCTGACCCTGAGTGGTTTCTGTTGTTTTTTTTGGTGCTAGTTAGAACTCTAGAGGTTTTAAGGTGGGCTATTCCATAGTAACTAACGGGACGTTTGGACTTCTCTCTTACATTGATAACACTGTAATTCAATATCATTTTATTTCAACTGGCGTTATCCTCCACACAATATTGAATATTGTTATCTTAAACGTATCGCTCTTTGAAACTTTTGTAGAAATTAAAAAGAGAAACGTAACAGAAATACGATTGAGTATACTTAATGTTCTTAATCTTTTTAATCTTATAATCCCTTCATGGGTTTGTGCACTCTCTCCAAACAGCACCAGCGGTTTTCGCTCGGATTTGGTTTTACATGTAGTACTTTTTTTTATCTGTACAAAAATGTCGAGCAATGACTATATTTGATAACGATATTATTATATTATTATTATTATTATTATTATTATTATTATTATTATTATTATTATTATTACAACATAATAACACCCTCTCCTGTTCAGTACCGCTCTAGAGGCTACGATAGTTTACTAGCGGGATGGCGATATACCACACAATTAAACCCAGGCGTGTAAATCGTTAACAAAACTGGATCTGCTTGGAATCTTTGTAACCCCTGTCCCTTCCTATCAAACCGAAAAAAGTATGACAAAGCAGAAGTTCAGACAAGTTTATTGCCCTATTATCAAACTGGGATCTTTGGCAGATTTCAGTTTTTTTACACAGGCTTTTGGGCATACAAATTGTTGCGAAAAAAATACTGTATTCATGGATCAAACCGCCCTTAAGCTAGGTTCAATGATTTCAAGTAGCCTACTGTGTGACGTTTTTTAAAACCAACTGTTTCGTCCTCTCTTGTAGCACAGTTTTGTGTTTGTCTGAAAAGCTCAATCGGAAAAAGAAATAATATGTGTCACGACGCTGTGGAATCAAGCGCTCACCAATTTTTGGTCACAAGAAGTTATTGATATTATCTTAAAGATTGTTTACTTGTCTTGTTTTTGATGGAAAACCCCCCCAGACAAACTATCAAACAAACAAAATCTATCTAAAATATCTTGAAAACCCTACCTATCTTGAATATTTGTGAGTGAAGGAGGTGGGGTCGCCTGGTGTAAAAAGGTAAAAAAAAAAAAAGCGAGGAAATGGCGCCAAAGTTTGGTGGCTTTCAAAGCTTGGGTGTTCTTGAAAACTGCAAAGTTATATTATTTGTTTGTTTTTTTAATCAACGTTTTTTGTCAGTAAAATTTACACAAAATCATGTCTTTAAAAGGAAATTCAAGGTGTTTAGGCAAGAATACAACTTCGATAAAAATCGTCCAACAGGCGGGAAAATATCAATTTCTGCAGTTTCATAATTTTGTCGGGCGTCAGATTTCACCACGATGCTACACATATTATTATAAATTTAATCGATGCGTCTCTTCTCTGTATAAGTAAACTTGAAAAGCAATACAAATTTAAGGCCAACAAAGCGCTTCATCGTTTCGCAAAATACGTAATCTGGTTGACATTGCATCTTTCCCCGCTTCTGCCCCCCCCCCCCTCCCCCTTACGGGACGCAACAATTTTAAGTTAAGAGCTTGCTCTTAATTCAATTTACCGTATTTAAGCTTGACATGTCGATAAAATCGGAAAAGGCGTAGGGCCTATCTCGCTAATCGAAGTCTTGCTTTTGATGGAAATAGTACCCACCTATCTTGAATAGAAGTCATAAACAAAAATGTGCTATTGAGGTGGACTGGGATCGCCTGGTGTCAGAAGTACAATTATCAAGAAAAAGGCCACAAAAGTTTGGTGACTTCCAAAGCTTGAGAGTCCTTGAAAATTGCAAATTGAAATTTGTTGTGCCTTTGCTCAACCTTTTTAAAGGTAAAATCAACAGCGTGATATATTTTAAAATGTATAATATAAAAGGTGTTGACACAGAAAAAAAAAGGAGATAAAAATTGGTCAATGGTCGAAAAGATGTCTGCATGTTTCTTCGGTTTAATCATTTTGACGAGCACCTGATTTAACCCTGATGCCTCACATTTAAACTCTGCTGTAAGACATAATTATGTAAAAATATAAAACAAGAAAGCTGCGACACACTGCGTCGTTTCAATGTTTTTGCTTTCAAGCGGAATGCAATCTGTCCTTAATCATATACTTTCTGGTCATATTTTTTATATTTAGTAACCTGGGCGTTTTACGACCGCATTTGCTACACAATCAGGTCATACGTGTTGAAGATGAGAGGGGTTACATGGAAGTAAGAAACACATTAAAAAGAAGGAGGAAAGGTAAGGACGCCAGATTGTGTTTAATAGGAGAGAAGCGCAAACCGCACCAGGACACCCGCCAACTACCCGCTGGGTTTCTATTTCTGTCGGGCACTACCTGTGGGTGCAGGGCTTGAGTAGGAGTAGGAGGAAGCAAAGAATATGGAAGCGTGTGTGTGTGTGTGTGTGTGTGTGTGTGTGTGTGTGTGTGTGTGTGTGTGTGTGTGTGTGTGTGTGTTTGTGAGTATGTGATAGATAGATAGATAGAGATAGATAAATAGATAGATGGATAGAGTGTGTATGTGTGTGTGTGTGTGTGTGTGTGTGTGTGTGTGTGTGTGTGTGTGTGTGTGTGTGTGTGTGTGTGTGTGTGTGTGTGTGTGTGAGTGAGAGAGAGAGAGAGAGAGAGAGAGAGAGAGAGAGAGAGAGAGAGAGAGAGAGAGAGAGAGAGAGAGAGGGAGAGAGGGAGAGCGAGGGAGAGCGAGATTTGGGGGAGGGGGGGGGGGGGGTACGGTTCATGCGTGTGAATAGGTTAGTTACCGACGTGTCAGACTTTGTTGGGACATGGAATCTAGCTATCCGTCCCCGCAGAACTATGCAAATTTACATGGCCAAATTATGTAAGACAAATGCAAAATTATGCATAATTATGCAAGTTACCGTAA